CTATGGATTCTGGTTATTAAACCTTTGTCAGAGACATAGCCTGCAAATATTTCCTCCCAGTCTGAGGGCTGTCTGCATGCTTTACTTACTGTGTTCTTGGCTGTGCAGAAGCTCTTTAGTTTGAGGTTCCAATAGTGTATTTTTGATGTTGCTTCAATTGCCCGTGGGGTCCATCTCATAAAAAATTCGTCCAGGCCAATTTCTTCAAGTGTTTTCCCTACACTTTCTTCTAGTATTTTTATGGTTTCATGTCTTAAGTTTAAGTCTTTAATCCAGTGAGAATCTATCTTAGTTAATGGTGAAAGGTGTGGATCCAGTTTCAGTCTTCTACAAGTTGCCAGCTAGTTCGCCCAGCACCATTTGTTGAATAGGAAATCTTTTCCCTACTCAATGTTTTTAATTGGTTTGTCAAAGATGAGGTAAGCTGGATTCATCTGTTGGTTCTCTATTCTGTTCCATACATCTACCTCTCTGTTTTTGTGCCAATACCATGCTGTTTTAAGCACTATTGATTTATAGTATAGTCTGAGGTTTGGTAGCGTGATTCCTCCTGCTTTGTTTTTATTCCTTAGTAATGTCTTGGCTATTCAAGTTCTTTTCTGATTCCATATAAAACGAAGTATTATTTTCTCAAGATCTTTAAAGTATGACAGTGGGGCTTTAATGGAGATTGCATTAAAATTGTATATTGCTTTGGGTAACATGGACATTTTAACAATGTTGATTCTTCCTAGCCATGAGCATGGTATATTTTTCCATTTGTTAACATTTTCAGCTGTTTCTTTTCTTAGAGTTTCATAGTTCTCTTTATAGAGATCTTTCACATCCTTTGGTAGGTGTACTCCCAAATATTTCATCTTCTTTGGCACTACTTTAAACGGAATAGAGTCCTTGACTGTTTTTTTCAGCTTGGCTGCTGTTGGTATATATAAAGGCTACAGATTGATGAGTGTTGACTTTGTATCCTGATATGCCACTATATTCCTTGATCACTTCTAAGAGTTTTTTAGTCGAATCTCTGGTGTTTTCCAGGTATACAATCATATCATCTGCGAAAAGTGAAAGTTTAATCTCTTCTGTTCCTATATGGATACCCTTAATCGCCTTTTCTTCCCGAATTGCAATGGCTAGAACTTTCATTACAATGTTAAATAACAATGGGGACAATGAGCAACTTTGCCTGGTTTCTGATCTGAGTGGAAATCATTTCAATTTAACTCCATTGATTACAACATTGGCTGTGGGTTTACTATAGATGGCCTCTATCAACTTGAGAAATGTCCCTTCTATACCAATTTTCTTAAGTGTTCTTATCATGAAGGGATATTGGATATTATCAAATTTTTTTCTGCATCAATTGAGAGAATCATATGGTCTTTGTTTTTTGGTGTGTTTAAGTGAGGAATTACATTTATAGATTTACGTATGTTGAACCATCCTTGAGATCCTGGGATAAAACCCACTTGGTCGTGGTGTATGATTTGTTTGATGTGTTGCTGG